TAATGGATAGGAATATCAGCCAAGAAACTCCATTTGATATAATTTAACTATTTAGTTGAAAATAGTTAAGTTATACTCACCATCTTCATAACGAATGAAAATGTGGAATTTTATGTCAAGCAAATACAGATGTTTAGAACTTATTGCATTAGATGTCTAACCAAACAGTGTGGAAACGTACTTAGGAATACACTGAATGATTTTTTATGTATAGAATTTGTTGCAAAGTGTGTTTTAAACAAAAATATTCATTACTGTTTGTATCTAAGCTCAATTATTCCAATATACTGTGAACTGATGTTATTTGGGGTTTCGTTGTTTTTGTTTTTAAGCCGATTAATCTTTATGTCTTAATCTATTTAATGACTAAGTTATTTAGTCATATCCTTACTAATGCATCTCTTACAAAGATACCTCTTTTTGTTAGTGTTACAGGAAAATAGCACATAGGAAAGACAACAACAAAATATATGCGCTAATATCAAAACGCTGCTCTTGTGATCAAATGCTGAAGCCTGCTGAATAGTATTATTCAAATTACAACGCTTCATTTTGATATGTTTTTTGTTTAAAGATATGACAGAACTATAAAACTAAGTTGTGTTGAATGAAATAATGAGACAGAAATAACTACAAATGTAAAAACTTACAGCACGTCGTCCACAGATTCTTCTTGATGAGAATGTTGCTCTATCAACTGTGTTTTTTCTAGTTGCAGTAGAGGATTTTGAAATGATGTGTCATCAATTGTCCTTTTACGATAAAACATTTTAACTCATTTGGAACTTGTTAGATATATCATTCAAATTGCATTCGTAGAAAATTCACCGTTCATGTATTGTTACGTAGCAGGTGCTTACGTTCATACATTGTGAGCATTTTGGCTGCATAAGCCACGCCACTTGTTGATCAGGTGGAACTTGCAGCTACAGTGGATTATTGTAGAGGTATTTTAACACAGATGGGTACATGAGTGACTTCCTGCCTCAAAGATGAGCGGAAAAGAACTTACGTTTTTTTCCCCATTAAATAAAAGACCCATGAAATTTAAATATTTAGTTTATTTTGTGTGTTGAGTTCAATATGATACCTGAATACAACTGTGACAACGAAAACGCGCCTTAACAACGCGAATTCTGTATAATCACCAGCTTCGAGTTTAATGACTTCACGAACACAAAAGGTAAATGAAATAAGCTAGTTAATACGTTATCGACGCCTAAAAACGACTTACTGCATATGCAAGGAATATTCATAAGTATGCACAGAATTAATATAACAGTGAGAAGGGAACATTTTTTGTTATATATTTAATGATCTAATCAAAATGGTCTTGCCAGGTTTCATACGAATATAGAAACTGATATATTTTTAATTTATTCAGAAGGTCAAACGCTATTGTTCTTACTTCGTAAACAAACAAAGAAAAATATGTAAATGGTTATATTACAGGATTCATTCAAACTGAAACGATTAAGGCTAGCTATGTTTTATTTTTGTGAATTGGTGATAATAATGAAATATTCCTTTTCACGTTTGAATTGCTACAAAAGAACTACACAATAGTTAACGACTTATCTCATAACTGTTTTAATGAAGATAAAGGGGAATCGAAAGTTACATTTATTTATCAATTTTATACAAGAGAATAATGGATAAACATTAAATTTGAACGAGGCTTATTTTGTTTTCAAGAAATTACGAAAATGTGATGACTAAGAGTCTTATTCATTCCAGTGATGAATTTCCCAGTCTCATTCGATTTGGACTACGCAAGGCAGACTGTGCAGTAAAGTGCTTTTGAAGTTTCATTATATGAGAGCCAGTTTCGTTTCGAACCATTTTCCCTTTTGAAGATGTCTTTCGAAATTTTCAGTACTACTAGCTGAACTTGGATCGGATGATTTTTTTTTTTAATAGCTTCTTTCATTTTCGTCGATGGTAGATTCTGATGGCTCTAAATGAAAAGTGTATCGACTGGTTGAACGGCAGTGTTTATATTGTGTACATGTTATGGTAGTGGAGTTTCATCCGATGTCACTACTGGCACTGGTGCCATCGGTTTGTTTGTTTGTTTCTGAATTTCGCGCAAAGCTACACGAGGGCTACCTGCGCTCGCCGTCCCTAATTTAGCAGTGTAAGACAAGAGGGAAAGCAGCTAGTCATCACCACCCACCGCCAACTCTTGGGCTATTCTTTTACCAACGAATAGTGGGATTGGGCTGAAAGGGCGAGCATGTTTGGTGTGACGGGGATTAGAACCGGCGACCCTAAGATTACAAGTCGAGCGCTCTAACCACCTGGCCATGGGAGCGTCGTCCTCGTCCTTTGCCCCTTTAGGTATTCGTACCATCAGAGGATTTGTACTGGTGCCTGATAACCAATTCATCATTTTAGCACATTTCACTACCTTTTCTTGTAGACGTTTACGTTTGCGTGTTCTTTCTTCTTCTGTACCTCCAGGGGGCTTCTTCTTATTATCTATTTTTGAAAAATTCTGTAAAAATACTTAAAAACACGGCTTAATAATTTATCATTTTAAACCACGACAATTTATAATTTACTTTAGAAGGAATTACAAAAACTATAAATAAAGAATGCGTAAATTTGAGTGAACACAATTTAGAGAATGCAAATAAGATAAATTATAGGAACGATTATATTTAAATATGGCTATAACGTGACACAACGCAACAGGGAGCAAGCCTTAAATAAAATTAACTAACTAAATGATGTAATTTAAAATGTTTTTTAAAGGAGATCAATTATCCTGCATATCTTTACACATGAAGCAATGTGATAAAATAATATCAGGAAAATAAAATACACACACAAAAATTTCACTACAATTTGACGGGCTCACCTAGCGCCTGCCAGATGGCCTAATCCGCCCATGGTTAAGACAAGAAAACATGTTTCTTACCAATAATTTAATTTAGTGTATAAGCTCGAAACCTCTCATTCTATTCTAAATTACCTCCAAAACAACGTGTTTAGTAACGCGTGTTTGTGATATCATAATTGTCTGGAAATTGCTACAAGGTGGTTTATAGTCTGTTATTACGAAAAGTTAGTAGTATGAGTTTAGTTTATAGTCTATTATTACAAAACGTTAGTGATATTCAGGTATACCTTGTGTACCTGAATGTACGTATATGCAAGTTGTTAGAAGTACGTTTATCTGCTATCATGGTTTTTTTTTCTTCTGAAATTAAAAAAAAAAGAAGCACTAAAACAAAGTTACATTGTCGTGTTTAATTCTAGGTGTTAAATGACTATTATAATCTTTTTAATTTTTACTCGTGTGATTCTCAAATTTGCTTTGGCTTTCCTAACTCACGAAGCTTTCCTTTTGAATGTCCATGGTATGATATTTCCTTAAAAACTATTGCTTGACAATGATCACATTATGGATTTGTTTAACTTTTACTACCAGAAAATGCTCTCAATATGACATTCTTTAAAAAAGGGAAAATGATTTCGAAAACCAAAAGTACTTCTAAAAAACATCTGAAATATGGCTAACATAAAATTTGATATTGTTGCGTCATCGAGGTCACGTGACTGGTGTGGCGCCACCTATTTTCTAGAACTATCCTGTACCTTGGCGAATGCTCTAGTATTTACTAGATATAGGGTAGTCTGGTATATAAAAGAGGGTGACAACGTGACGGGATAATGTAATGTGTGTGTAGATAGTGAGTAATTGAACTGCAGTCACAGGGTATTGTTGAAGTTAACGTTCGTTCGTTATAGTGTTTGTTTTAGCGCGAATAGTGAAATTAAGTGCATCGTAAAGTTATATTCGGAAAGAATAAACCAGTTTTATTAAGTAAAGACTTGTGTCGCTAAAGTTTCGTCGGAACGAAGTTACGGAAAGTTAATTAACGAACGGAGACGTAACACTATGTTGAAAAGAATTGGATTGATCATTGTTATTAAACAAGACGTGTTTTCGTTATTCTTAGTATAACGACAAGGCTTCAAATGAACAGGACAGTTATTCAAACAATGCTTTTCATGATAACTGAGGAATTGGCTTGAAGTCTTTTTGTGAAAAAATGATCGTAATATGAGTTTGGTTTAAAGTCGATTATTACAAAAGGTACATGATATGAGTTTGGTGTATAGTCCAAGGGCGTCCGTAGAATGTATTCCATGTGGGGGCAAACCCGTAACCTAAGAACACGGAGAGTGTCGTTGTTTGCAAGGGGCTCCTTCAGAAAATTTTGAAAAATCAAATGCTTTTCAACGCTGTTCTGTGGTATATATATATATATACATCGTACACCGTTAAAAGTTCATTTAGTACGATGAGAAGCGTTCAAACATGGTTGCGATCAATCCTGTCAGTAGAACGCCTGTCTAGTTTATGCACGATAAGTGTTTATCGTGAAAAGATCAATTATGACAAAACTGCATTTATTCAGGTCATCAGCAGTTTTTAGTTGATGAGTGAAATGGTAGCCACGCAGAGCGCAGGCCATTGCCTTGAAGTTTGAATGCGATACACTGGCTGATTAAGACTTATTTATGTACACCTAATTTCGTCATAGTATTCTTTTCTAGTACATTTTTAAAATCAATTATTGAAATAAACTTTGCCCTGAAATTCCGTGGGGGTGGTGCAAGTGCCTTCCTTGTCCTCTCCGGCGGATGCCCATGGTATAGTACATTTTTAAAAAATAGATCAAGACATGAGTATGATTAAAAGTCCATCATGAAAGATTCTTAAAGTTTTGTTTAAAGTCTATTGTAACAAAATGTTCGTGATATGAATTTGATTTAAGGCATATCTTTAGACAATGCTCGTAATATGAGTTTGGTTTATAGCATAGTATTTCAAACAATTTTGGGTAGGAGTTTATTATATTATATGAAAACCAAACAAGATAAGCGTTTTCTTTAAAGTTTAACATAAGAAAATGATCGTTATATGAGGCTAGTTTAAGGACTATTATCACAAAGTCAAAGGATGAGTTTAGTCTAATCTCCGATGTTAAAAAAACGATCGGAATAAGAGTGTGTTTTAAAATCTACTTTTATTAATTTTCGTAATATTAGTTTGTTTCAAATTATGTTGTTAGAAAAGTTTGTAATGTGATTTTAGTTTATAGTCCATTATTACAAAATGTTAGTGATATGAGTTTAGTTTATAGTCTATTATTACAAAAAGTTAGCGATATGAGTTTATTTTAAACTTAAATATTGAAACAAAGGCGGAATATCAGTTTGCTTCAAAGTCTATTAACAAATATAATCGTGATTTAAGTTCGATTTATACTCTGTTATTCCAAAATGTTTGTGACATGAGCTTGTTTAAAGTTT